GCCCCCCGCCAGGAAACGAAGACGACGTCGTTATGCCCGCAGCCGCTCTTACCGAATTGCCCCTGAGTGCTCGACCCGGCGACATAACGACGTCGTTCAGGAACTCACCACTGCCCATCACCATTCCGTACGAGGACGACGCCGTAGGAGGCGAGGCGGGGAAGAAATCAGAAGAGTTGTTGTAACTCCCGGCGGGTATGGAGTCTCGGCGGACCGGAGAGGCGGGGACCGCAGGAAAGGGAACCGGACGGGGAGCATCGGAGTGACGTGGCGGGGGGATCATAACCGGAGAGAGTGAGTTACCGGAGGGGGAGATGTGAGAGACCGGAGGAGAGGAGGCGGCGATGGGCTCGGGCGAGGAGAAGAACCCCACTTGTCGGACCTTCGGGTCGCTGACCGTGCGCGGAGGTCGGCGAGTGTCCATATGGGAATTTTCAGTCTTGGACCGAGGGTTTTTGGGGTATGGAGAGTGGGTTTTTGGGGTGTGGAGAGAAAAGCAGGGGGGTTTGTTCACAAAAATGCAGAACGCTGAGACAGAGAGACCCACGTTTTTAAAAAGGAGTAGAAGAAGAGTGCCAATTTCCCTTTCGTTTTCAGATTTTTTATATTTTGTATATTATCATTATGAAAGTAAGAACAACAATTGTGGTTGCTCCTGCCATTAGGCACTAGACACATGGTCATTGACGATGACCCATCAACGATACCCACTAGATTCGTTCTTTCAAAGTTTTGGAATATCATTTTAATCATTTGAAATTTGGCTTACACCCTTCAAATTCAATTTGCTGTACCTAAAACCCTTCACTTTTTGTTCCTATACCTAAAACCCTAAACCAACTCAGCAAGCTACCTAATTAAGCATAAAATCTGATTTATTGTACTTTTCAGATTCCAAAAATACCCTCAACTAAGCCATCATTGCATTTTGTATATTAATGTAGGAATCAATATGAAAACAGTTTTTAATTTGATTGTATATAATGACAGATGTTGAATTTGGAAAGATCTCCAAATGGTTGTAATAGATGTAGGAATTAATTTTGAAACATTTTAAAAAAAATTTAACAATAAATTAAAATTTAGGTAATCGGTTTGTTTAATAAAATGTTTATGTTATTTTCTTTTTATGAATTATACATGACTAATAATCCACTTTATAATTGTTTATGAATAAAAATGTACGTACTAATTATGTTGAAAAAATAATGTACCTATTACTTGTTTGTTTTATGAAAAACATAATTTACCTAGTATGAAAAGTGTACATAATTATCTATTCCAAATAATGTACCTATACACATTTACAGGTATATTGTAAAATAATTTACCTGTGGGTAAATAATGTACCTATATTTTATTTAAATTATTGTGTACCTATTTTTAATTATGAAAAATATACGCAATTACAAAGTAACTGACTTTGTTTTTTTTTTTGGGTAAATAATATACCTATATTTTATATGTATATATTTATATTATATTTCATAGGTACATTATTGGATATGTAATTTACAGATTTTTTATTTTTTATTTTTTGTAATTTTAGGGGGCGAGATGTGAAAGGGAATGATAACTAAAAGAAATGGGGTGGTTGATATGCTATTAATAGAGAGTATATTAATTACAATTATGGTAGTTAATGAAATGCTTGAAATAAATTATAAATAAAATATGAAGTTTGGTGGCAATGATGTAAAAATATAGAAATACTACAACCTCTTATATCCTACTAGTCATTTAAATTTGAAATTGGGTTTTATACATAGATTTATAGAGTGATTGGTATATGTTTAGGAAATAGAAAATGTAGGGATCTATATTGGACAAGCTCAATGATTGCCTAAATGTTTTATGTACATGATCACATTCATCTAAAAAGGAAAATACTTTTGCAGACATGGATTAGACCCGTTCATCGTGTCACAATGAGTTAGTCGCTTACACATATTTGAATTCTCTCCTCATATATTAATGTTTCTTACAAAATTCTTAAAAAGGGTTTATAGCCGAGCGGCCATACTTGATTTTAACACGTAGAGCCAATCGCAAGGAGGGCCATCTTTATATATATATATATATATAAATTGTATAGCCGCTCGGCTGTACTATTTTGACACGAGACCACTGATCATCGTTTCGTTTTATATGAATAGTATAGCCGGCCGGCTATACTCGGTTCACTATATTTTTCTTAAATCGTATATTCTCCAGGCGGGTCAACTTTTTATATTATATAGTATAGCCGGACGGCGATAATTGGTTTTTTATTTTTATTTTAAATAGTATAGCCGCGCGGCTATACGTATTTTGACTCGTGACCCTGATCGCAAAGAGGGTCAATTTTTTTGTATTATATAAATAGTATAGCCGCACAGCTATACGCAGGTTTTTTAATTTTTTAAAAATTAGTATAGCCGCACGGCTATACGTATTTTGATGATGACCCATCAAAGATACCCACTACATTTTTTCTTCCAAAATTTTGGAATATAATTTTAATCATTTGATGATTGCATGTTTTATGTACATGATCACATTTATCTAAAAAAAATATACTTTTTCAGACGTGTGTTAGACCCGTTCATCGTGACAATGAGTTAGTCCCTCATTGTCAGTCCCTTACACAGGTTTGAATTCCCTCCTTGTATAATTTAAACTATACTTTTATTTTTTTAAAAATTATACTGTTTATATTAACCAAGTTTCACATTGTGTAAATGTGAAGAAAGCTTGTTTCCAACAACAAAGTGAATCCAAAGTTAGCCTAAAATTTTCAGTGCTGATATTGTATCCATAAGCAAACTGCCTCATTTAAGAACACATGCTACACGAGAGATAAAGATATCAAGCTAAATTTTCAAAATAAAATCAAAATATCAAATACGAGAATGTAATTAGATAACGATACCCAAGACTACTACAAAGTATCTGTAACACCACATATCCATGAACTAGTTTTGAACTCACAGGGTGACTGCCAATCACATTTTAAAAACAACATTGACACAGAAGTATAAATCCATGAATAACCATCACAAGGTTACTAATCCTTCTTCTTTCGGCAATGACGTACTAGGATCACATAAAACTTGGGGCGACTGGACCCTTTGACAGCCCGAGGCGAACTTCCATTGCATGATGTGTGTCTACAGGCCGGAGGGTTTCAGATTCGCGAGGGTCTGCAATTAGCACAATGAAACATATAAAAACCAACACAACCAAAAGGTTAATGGGGCAAAACAGCGAAGCACCAAACTTCTCTTAGGCATTGTTCAAGAAAATGTGATTGGCTTAAGAAATTTGCAATAAACTGAAGTGCTCCCGTCCCATATTTTATTAAGAAGATTTAACCTTCTTATAATCTTGGTCCAAGATTCTTGGATTCTATATGCATACCCCTTCTTAGAATCTAGCTTTTATATGCATACCCTAAAATGAAAATTCAAAACATATGTCTACCAACTGAACTCTGGGGAAATCAGACTAGGGCAGTATGAAATTAAAACCACATAATCCAGTTCTAGAGATAAAAAGATTCACTAGTTTAGGGCAGAAATTTGACATTTTTTACTCAAGAAAAATTTTCAATTTATTACTTACTGATCCCTAATTGTTAAGACTCCAACTTATGAAAACATTAGACGAATTTAAACAAACTTTTCAAAGAGATAACACTGAACAGTTAGAACTTACAAAACTAATACCATTAAGTTGGTTTATGAAGAGTGTTTTCTTACCATTCAGATAATCCTCAAAGCCAAAATCATCTAACCTTCCAGTCATAGCCTCCAAACCCAGCATTGATGAAGGAATTGCTCCAGCAGGCCTCTGAAATCTGTAATTGTTCAAAGAAAAAAATACAAAACGAAGGCTCAAATGCAACTCCGAGTTAATACATTTATTGAAGTAGAAGTAAATAAACACTCAATGTTTGATGGTGCATTACTGCATGTAACACAAACAAAGATTTGATTGATGCTATAGCCTCCAGATATGTTTGCAGTATATGGACTTCAGAACAAACTCAAACTTCAAATCAAACGATTCTATAAGATCTTTGACTCATACTCAGTATGGATAAACAATAAAACTAAGTAATCACAATGAATATATAAAAACACCCCAAACTTATAACAAGTAGGTGATTTCCTTATCTATATGGTATTGCTTGAATGCTATCGAGCATGGCAAACATCATTCATCCAGTTCAAATTCACCTCAATAAAACAGATATGTTAAATGCAGAGATGGAAATTGTCGGCTCATCCCTAATAGAATTAAATTTTCAGCTGATTAGTGAGATATAAAGATGCAGACAGGGCACTACCTAAGAGCGCAATCTGTATAACGAGAGCAACACCTACAAAGACAACCGATAACCAATTTCTAAAGTAAAACTTTCCTACTCAACAATCGTTATAAATAACCAACAACCAATAATCACACAAACTGTATAAAGAGAGTACCACCTACAAAAACAAAAACAAAAATACTAACAAACTTCTAAGGAAGAAATTTCTTACTCAAGAACCCTTATACATAACCAACAACCAAAAATCACACAAAGGACCCCCAAAAAAACTATTAATCCAACTGGGTTTTAGCATAACTGGGCGTTAGAAACCATGGTATTATATATTTTAAAAAAAACCCAACTTGCCAACATAGCACACACATTTTCTTCTACTGTAAATCATAACAATTTAGAGTAATCCATTACAACAATTCATAACAGCAGTCAGAATTTCATACCGAGAAAGGATTTGCCTTTCGAGATCCATCTTCAGTGGAAACGCACTTCCATAAGTGTATCCCAAGACTTTCCTATTAATCTGCTCCTGCTTCATCTTTGCCTAAACCCAACGAATAATTAAACACAAATCTCCAAAACTGACCACATATGTTCAATACTAAACACGCTGCAACAAAACCCCAAGAAAGAGAGAGGAAATACCGATTCGTAAGCAGATTCGAGAGGGTGAGAGCCAACGAGGTCGCTCTTGACGCCTTGAAGTCCAAATCGAAGCGCATCGTTTTGGACTCCTCCGATTTGGTGCTCTATTGTCTTCGGTGCCTCCATTTTTCCTTTCTCTTCTCCTCCTCCTTGTTCTTCTTTCTCAGCAAGCAATGTGTATTGTATTGTATAGAGTCTACAGACTTCCGCTACAAATTATAAATAGGAGAAAGAGAGTCTTGTCCCCTTTTTCTTTCGCTCTTAGCTTTAATTCTTTTTTATTTATTAATAATTTTTGTCGGGCCAATTGGGTTTCAGCAACGAGCCTATTTGGGCTCGAAAAGGGCTCATTCTGATTCAGTTGGACTTAAAACTTGTTCATGTTTGCTTGTTTGGGCTAGGTTTTGGTACTAGCCCTTGTTTTTTTGACGCCCCTTGTGTAATTACCATAGTCAGTAAAATATGGGATTGGTCGTAATATTTTCAAACTCTTCTTAAAGTCACAGGGTGAAAAATTCGGTTTGTATTTTACTTTTGACTTTTTATATTTGTATAAGTGTATTACTACAAAATATTTTTTAAAAATGTGTATTATTCTTGAAAAATACTAAGTGCAATGCGCGAATAATATCAATTGAGACCAATGATTGTAGACCAACTAGCACCAATCAAATTGTTAACCCAGAAGGAACTTATATAATAAGGGAGTATTTTACTCACCACTTTAACCCAAGGTCACCTTTTTCAACAATTGACACATATCCATAAGCATAATCATAGTTACATAAATTAAAATAAAAAGTAAACCATGATTATGTATATGGACACGTGTCAAGTATTAAGAAGGGTGATGAGCATGCGTCTTGAGTTAAAGTTGTGAGTAAAAATATTTCCTATATAATGAGGGGGACTTGGGGGAAATTTCGGACCTAGATTGAACAAAATGGGGGATGCATATATATATGAAAATTTATCGAATAAAGGGTTTTTCACATGTAAGCCTATAAATAGAGCCCAAAATATAGAAAAACTCTATAATATCCAAATCTTAGAAGGAAAAAAAAAAACCATATAACTTTTCAAATGGGCTAAATATACCATACAACTCTTGAAAAACCTAAAAATTACAACAATCCCATAAGTGGTTTTTTTCTTTCTAAAAATCATAATGTAAGGATAATGATGGTATTTCACATATCATTCAAATTTTTTTTTAAAAAAATTACAGCTAGCCTTTTTTGGGTTTTTTTTCTTCATCAATTTATAAGTTTTAGGGTTTATATATAAATTCAATGCAAGAAATCAGATTTATTATAAATTTCTCATAAGAGGCAAAATAAGGAAGTTTTTATGGTGACTTCGATAAAGCCATCATGCATTCATTTCTTCAATTCATAGAGGAGTGTATGATAACTTTTTTGAAGTTCTAACAATAGTTTTCTATGGTAATACTGTGAAGGTATGATATTATTTTTTTCATACAAGCGGTATTATGGGTAGGGATGAACCTGCAGTGGGTTTAGTGGGGTCAATGGGGTCAAATGACCCTATGGACTCTATGGAAATAAGCTTGAAGGTCCTCTTGAGCTAACTGTGCGACCCCATGAAATGCCCTCCACCTGTTTGATATTTGGCCTAAAGAAAGGGTTCCTGTTAAAGGAAGAAGCCCAAACGAGCTGGCCAAAACGAAGGTCTTTTAAAAATAAAAATAAAAACAGTTTCCATAACCCCATCTCCTCCATTGCCGTTGCTGCCAGTAGTGCTGCCGTCACTAAATTTTTTTTTTGTTGAACTTTTATACTGTGACCCTATGAGGTAAGATTCATGGGTCCATCACTGATTATGAAAGGAGGTTTTCTCACACACACTGTCAATATATCACGGGATCTGAGACCACTAGTTTGTAAATTAAAACCCTTTTTTCATCGGGCTAGATCTCATTGACAATACAGAGGCAAGATTTGAAAATGATAAGGGGCTATCATGATGGACGAAAATAATTCCCAGCCATCAATAATTATTGAGGCATGATCAAAATGAAACTGAAAGCTTCTGGGTGGTGGGTGTGGTTTCCCAATCCTTATTATTGATGCATGCATAAAGAAAATTACTCAGGACTGACCTATGCCAATCTCTATCTATATACAGAATAGGTATAGAGGTACTAGGGCACCATACTTGAATATTGTATTAAATAATTTTATTTCTTGTTTTAGGCATTTGGGGAATTAAAAAGAAGTAGATTCTGTTGGGTATTATATTGGATATGGGGTATGTCCTCCCTGACAAAGTCGGCAATTATATTAATATTAATACACAAATCAGTCACTGTTCATCCATTTGGTACACCATATTTTATATAATTAGGTACAAGTAGTCAGTCACTGTCTGGAGCTCTCAGTCTCCAGTATTATATACGTATAGAAAATTACCAGTACAGTATCTATATTATACGTCATGCCATGGCCAATATAAGCCACACCTTCCGTCAGTCTGTAAGTAGAAAGTAAAGATCCTCTTTATTCTCACAGTGCACACAAATATCTCACTGCACAAATGTAATGAACAAATATAGAAGAAAGAGAGAAAGAGAAGAAGTTAACATCACCGCCGTCACTTCCACTGTTACAGGTAGCTCTTCAACTTCACCGTGGGTATGTATGTTTGCACTCTCTCTCTCTCTCTCTCTCTCTCTCTCTCTCTCTCCAAAGGCTGTTTATGCAACATGAGGCTCCTTTTTTTTAATTTATCCATCTGTTTCTTTCTTCCTTTTTCTATAAGGTGCATGCTGTTGTCAGCTTCAGTTTCATAACTTGAATCATTTTATACACTTTCCGAGCCTGGAAAGTCTCCAAATCTAGATCTCTCTGTTATTGTTTTAATTGATGATCCAGTTCTTGCATGTTGTTGGGTTTTTTTTTTTTTTTTTCTTCCCTGTTAATTACAACGATAAAAAGATTTGAACTTTATCTTCTGTTGTCTCGACCCAACAGCTCATTTACTACTTGAGAGGTAATAATCATGACCATGCAAGTCTTCTTCAATCTGCAGGTGACGTAATTTGACTCCAATTTAATGTACATTTCCTATGTCTGTTAAAGTTTCAAAGTTTGATGTGGCTTTGAAATCAGAATTGACTGTTCTAACTTTTATTGTTCTGGAAGTGTCCTTCATTTTTTCTTCATATCTTCTCTTTGAAACAAAATTCCAAATGCTTCGTCAATCCATTTTCTTTCAAATGACTTGCAAAGATTTGCTCGAGACCGACCCTCTTTTCTTGCTCTCTCTCTCTCTCTCTCTCTCTCTCTCTCTCTGTAGACTCTAAAAAAATTAAATAAGGACATACTTCTTAAAAATTCTGGGGGTAGGTAGAATAAAAGTTGAGTAAATTGGGGAATGAGGCCATGGGGAAAGCTAGGGTAGGGCAGTTGCATTAGAAGATTTCAATTATCTCTGTCTACCGGACACATGTTGATACTCTTCTTGTTACAAATCTCAACTTCTGAGTGTCAGTGAAACTCATACGGTTTACCATTATCTTTGATGACTCTTTCAGTTCACACATTAGCAGAAGCTTATATATATTTAGTCATATTTCCAGACTTATCCCACTTAGTTTTATCTCCTCCTTATATGGTATGACATATATCAGTCTAAGGCATCTTGATCAACTTATGAAACGATTGATAGAAGTCATATGATCGATCACATTTATGGGAAGATTCTCCACTAAGTATTTAAGTTAAGGATTGGTTACATACTTTTAATCTATCAACACATTTAATTATTGCAATTCAACGGTAAAGATTAGAAGTATGTAATCAATCATTAACAAAAAATACTTATTGGAGAATCTCCCCACATTTATGATAAAACTCATCCTCTGATGGAGATCTAGACTTCCTAATAAACTCATCACAGCTTCACAATGTTATATAGGACAACCTTTCACTTACCTAGAACTTGGAATACTGTAACATAACGAAGCTAGGAAGAAGGAAATTAAATCAGTTACCTTTCCAAATTTAAACAACTGGTAAGACATTAGTCCTTTCCTGATCCAAAGATGAAATTTGAATGAACTTGAATTTCTCAGCTTCTTAATGGTTTAAGAAAGCCTTTGATCAATGGGTGTGTGTGTGTGTACATCTCCCCTTGGACAGAAAGACAGACCTACTAGTGAGTTCTGATTGTTTTGTATATAGCATGTATACATATCCCTGCTTAAATTGTGTCCTATATATGTTGTATCTGGCTCAGTTAGCCAAGCCAATGAATTTAACAGAAAAATATGTTACCATTAGAAGTGAAAAATGCTGATCATCATTTGTGGTTTTGATAAGTGAATGCATAATTGAAGTGGTATATATAACTTTGATCCAGTTGTAGTACTACTCATGCATTGTTAAGTAAAACCATCTTCAATTCGATCATTCTTGTAACTCCTGGCCAACTGTAAAACACAGTGGATCAGGTGGCTCAATATAGATCTATAGATAATGAGCATACAAAGAAATACATGAACAGAAATATAGCTTACACTCCAATGTTAAAAATCTGGACGATAATTCAATGTAGTCGATGATAAATTCGCAACAAATTGCCCCCCAAGTTTTGCCATAGATTTAATTTCCTACAGATTTGAGATCATGATTATTAAATCTAAAATCAGGAACAAAAAGAGCAAAAGGGTTTATACTTTTGGACAATATAAAGATATATACCGGTAGAAAGATTGATGCTGGTAATGGCACAATGAATGTTAGGGCATGGGAAGGCGCCGTTGGTGTCCCAATTTTGAAATGCATTGGGAAATTGGATGTGGCTGTTGGAACTCTGATCTGTATTTTCTGCTGACACCACATTGAGATACTTTTGCTGATTATAATTGGAATAAACTGATGAATACTGCTTCAACTTGTTTCTTTTGATGACATGAACAGACGGATCGTCCTCATGATGATGAGCTAATTGATTAGCTAGGAGGGAGCCCAGTTCCTGATTCTCAGGATGATCTCCAATATTGGCCTTTGCTGAAGATGATGACATTGTTTTACAATTATTGTTAGATTGATGGTGATCAAGCTCATTGAATAACTTCAATTGGTTCAACATCTGAGGCCTGCTCCCAGTGCACATTAATTTCTCTCTTGTCCTTTCCCTTGCCCTTGCTCTTGCCCTTGCCCTCGAGTCTTTCGTGCCATAAACATTAGCAGATTCAGATTCTTTCATCTTTTTCTTCATCATCAACATCACCTCTTTTTCTTTGCTTGCTACGTTTTCCACCTCGTTGGTGTCTGAATCGACGTCATCGTCATCACACTCTGAACTCGAAGTCAAACTCTTGGAACGCCCAGTACTAGTACTGCAGGTCAAGTGTTTGTTCCGAGTCCCAAGCTGTTTGATGGCCCTTCTTGACTTGGTGAGAAGCCATTCTAGGGTTTTACTTGCCTTGTCAAACCCTAGCAGGTCTTGGAGGTCAAAGAATTGACGGGCAACATTGATGGACAGTCTAACCCTCCGGTCCCTCAAGCCCTGAGCAGTGAAGATCTTGCTGTGCCGATCTTTCTTCATCGGCGGCGCTACTATATCTTCTCTAGAAGAATGAAGGAAATGAGGAAAAATATTATCATTGTTAATGGCACCATAGTAATTATGGTAGTGATGATGATCATCAGCGTTTATGCTAGGAGGTACAGTGTTTGATGAAACTCCCAAATGGGTCAAGCTTTGAGGAAGAGGAGGTGCCATTAAGGCATTGTTATGAAGTGGAAATTGACCAGAGATGGGGTACCCTTGAATATTGTGGTGAAGGAAAATGTCTCCACTACAAGCCTCTTGGTTCACACAAGGAAAAGGAGGAGGAGGGGGAGGAGGAGGAGGGTGGTAATTTGAAGAAGACAAGGGAAAGTAAGGTTGAAAAGGACTTACAGAATTACTATTAATATTGCTACTGCAAGATGAAAACATGATTTTTGGTTTGAAAATCAATTGACAGCTCCTTCTTGTACAATATATATCTTTGTTAAGAGAGATTCTTCATACCCATTTATATCTTCCTCAAAACTTTACCTTTTCAGACAGAGCCACTGATCTCTCTCTCCCTCTCTCTCTCTCTCTCGCTCTCTGCAACTTCATATATATGCATCCCTGCGTGCTCGGAAAAAGAAGGGGATGAAATATTATGAGTGAGTGAGACCGAGAGATGATGATGAATTGATAAAAACCCAAAAGCAATAATATAAGTGTGTTGGAGACAGGTGATGGACGAGTTTTTGGTTCTTTTCTCTTTGTTTTTTTCCGGTCAACTATTTCTTGGGTAGAATGGTTGTCCCCAGGGCAAAGTCCTGAACGTACAGTGAGTGTGCAGAGAGATATCAAGAGTGGGGGCTAATGGATAACTGGACATGGAAAGTGCACGATGTGTGGGTTTGTGCCACTTAGTTTGGGACATACACCATAACAAAACCGGGGACTGATGGGGAATTTGACAACCCCTTCAACTTTTAGACCCGTTATAACTTATAATTAATTCATCTTCAGAAAAAAACAAAGAGAATACAAAATAATTAACTAGGGTTATCTAGGGCTAACTAGGGCTAGGCTAGGCATCATCACCTGCTCCTATGGAATTTGAAAAGTGATCAGGTAATTAACAGTAGCTGGGTAAGCTAAGCTACTTTTTTCTTTTCTTTTTTGGGTAAGCTGCTGATGGTTACACAGTTACACTTACATGCACCTCCTGGCTCCTCCCCCATGTACGTGCGTCTAATTCGAATTGTAAGGGGCCCTATTTCGTTATGATCAATTATCAACAAAAAAGTTTAGGCGTATGCAAGGGATCAAATCCTTTTTGGCTTGGAAAGTAAAAAAAAGAGTCTTTAAATCATCTATAGTGGGGAGGTGTGTATGGGAGTGTATGTTAAATGTACACCCCGAGTCACCGAAATCGTCTCCAATAGGGAGATATAAATGGATGTAAACATACATCACCACCATGGAGATGTAAAATAAAATTTATATTTACATCTATTTTTATATCCCTTGCAGGCGGGACCCACCTGAGAAAAGAGAAGAAAAATGAAGAAAAATCAACATAAAAGACTGGGATCCACGGCTACACCCCCGAATTTACATCCCCTATTAGAGAAAAAAAAACATATTTACACTCCCAAGAGGTGTAAAAAGGATATAAAAGTGACTTTACAACTCCAAATTTACATCTCCCTACTGTAAATGCTCTTAGGTTTTCCAAAGGCCGTGAGTTAAATTGTTTGTGGTGGCTGTAAGCTGTACATGTGCAAATTGAAAATGTATGGATATATGCTAGCTTTTCTGCACATGCTTTTGTCTTTGACCAGCTTTAGTGAAATGAGATATTAATATCACTTTCACATAAGAAAGTCTAGAAGAGTGATTTTAGAGAGGAGGCGAGGATCAATGGAAAACAATAGTTTCGTGTCGTGTCGAGTGTTTCTTTGTGTTGTATTAGTACGACATATATAGCAAAGTGTTAGGAAATTAGGCAAGCACTAATGTGAATTCATACTAATTCTAAATCCGTAACGTTAATTTTTAGTCTAATAATACTTCTTTTTTCAAAGTTGAAAAAGCCTCACTTCAAATCATCCCTCCTTACTTGAAGTGAGATAATTTTTTTTACGCCTACTTTGTTATTGGCACAACATTTTGCTCCCTCTCTCTCTCTACTGATGCAGGGGCCACAGCCGTTCACAGCCATTCACAGCTAGCTGTAGGAAGACGATAGGAGCATGACGACTAGGCATGGTGGCCAAAAGACATGAAAACCTTGATTTAAACCCTTAAGGGGGTTTGGTTTTTTAATGTTGTTTCAAGGACAATGTGATTAGATATATTCGTACGAAGAAGATAAGGATATGTGCTCACGATGGGTGTGAATGGTTCAGAGGTAGCTAGTGTGCCATGTACAAAATCCATTAATAAAAGGCTAGCTTGCTTTCAATTTAATGCATTGGCTCTGGCCTGCAAGAGTACCTAGTTCCTGTCAAATAATAATGTGGTGGTCATTTCCTTTCCAATTCCACTACAAATGTTCATATAGACAATGGTCCATGCTCTTCTTTCTTGCACGTCCCCTTCTGATATAATTAGGAATTAGACACTAAGGTATTTGTAATTATTATTAATTAACCTCTAATAAAGGCCAATTTATTAGTTGGTATCTGCCATGACCACCCACACGGATGTTTGCTGCTTAATTGCACTTTCACATGCTCAAAGGGCAACTTCCCTTTCAAGACAGGGAGAACTGTCCAAACCCCACTTAGGCAACTTATTCCCTTTCCATCCAAACTCATTGAGCACCAATTATATATACATGGGTTTCCGTATTGTGTACGACTTTTATTAATAATTTTGTTTGTTTGTTTTTTTAACGACTTTTGTTTGTTAGTTTGATACATATTGTATATCAAAATTCTATATGTTTACTCCAAAACCCCTAGCAGACTAAGAGAGTGAGCGCTTCAGATACGGGGGGTTCTTTGACTTCTAGTTGATCTATGACGATATGATCTTTCTTTGGCATATCTATGCTCTTTGAGATGTTGCTTAGTCGTGATTGTTGAATGGCACGTTAGAGCAATTAGGTGGCGCTCTCTATGTCATGCCCCAGATAGAGATTACCGACGTTGTTTTAGAATCTTTGTCTTTTTTGGTCAATAAAATCCAGAAACTTAGTTGAGTTTGTTGGTTGTTCTTAGTCTCTTTAGGAGAGTCATGTCGGTTAGCGGCCAGTTTTGTCCTTGATGTCATTGAACTAGATTTGGGGAAACTATATTGGTAGAATGGGGTTATAGAAAAGTTATTTTCGAGAGTGATTCTCTCCATACCATTTCAGCTTTTCAGCTAACTCAAGTCACTGAGAAATTTTTACCCATATCTATCATATTGCTATTGAGATGGCTCCTTTTAGAGATTTTCTATTTAAACCCCACACTTCTCTTAGTTCACCTCAACTTTTAATTTAAATTTTCACAATTTCTAAGAAAACCCCACTATTTTCCTAAACTACCATTAAATACACCCCAAGCTGAAAAAACTAAGAAATAAAAGAAATTTTCTATTTAAACCCCACAAGCTACCCTTAGCGGAGGAAGTACGTTATGCAAGCTCAAATGCTAATTGCTAGACATTTTATCATTTTCTCTCTTGAGTATTTAATAATGAGAATGAGATATTCAATTTTCATTAGCATTTCGTGTGAGAGGAGATAAAACTAGTACTTGAGGTTGCTACACTTTGCACTAGGAGTAGGCCATCTAATCGACCATCAATGGAGAGTACATTGAAGCTTTTATCAGAGTGGAAAAGCAATAAGAAAAATAACCCAACTATTGAAGCAGCAGCAGCAGGATTATGATTTTAGATGCATACTGGAATTCCAAAAGTGACAATAATATTACTGTTCCCAACAGAAAAAAAACACAAACAAATGGAAACCCAAATCCAAAATTTAATACTTTCTAGAGAAAGAGAACAACTTTATCAAAACATCATGTATAAAAAATAAAATAAAAAACAAACAAAAGCAATCAATAGCCAAGCAATCAACAAATGAAAGAGAATAAGATCATTATCAACATGTCTTTCCATCAGCTCCCACACAGATTTTAAATAGGCATGCTCGTCATTGTTATACGTCTTTGGCAATTACGATGTAGAGGAGTTTGTATTTTTCTAAAACTTAATATGAAGAATGGTGGGGTGTGTGTATAGATGTACTAGGTTTAAGTAATAAGTTGGATGACCTTTTTTGTCTTTTTACACAATAATAAAACTTACAACTTAATGATTTAATAATTGGGGTGAATTAAGAGAAGTGTGAGGTTTAAATAGAAAATCTCTCCTTTTATAGTATGTGTCTTTTGTACTCTTTTTCCTTATTCATCTAATAAAATGCTATCACATTTTTATCAAAAAAAAATCTAAATGTTTACCTAGAATGAGAACTATTCTTGTTTAATATGAATTCATGTCTAATGATAATTGCACTCTAAGAATCAATATTATAATCTACACGCAATTAGAAGAGAAGCCTCTACATATATAGATATGCATTGTGAATTAATCAACATTACATATCAATAGGGTGTTAGTTGGATTGGCCGATGTTTTTGGTGTGCTTTCAAGTGATCCTAGATTCAAGTCTCTATGATACCCGTGTGTGTGAGTTTCCTCCGTCCTCTTCCTAATAGTTGTAGCAAATTAAACTCTTTAAATTAAAATTTATTAATGTACGTGGTAATTTGAAAATATTTATCCCAATAAGATAGCTCTGACAAAGCAGGAGTTTTGAGTGCAGGTAAAGGGATTGCCTCTAGTGTTCATGACTAGGGTAATGGGTAGAGAAATAACAAAATGAAAGAACAATTTGGATGTTTGAGATTTTATAGAATATTTTAGAATATTTTTTTAGCAATTAAAAGATTAATTATAACTCAAAAAGCAAAAGAAAAAAAAAGGGAAAAGAAAGAAGTAGGAAACCTGTTACACCGGGTGCACTATAGATGGCCTTCGCCGACAAAACAAAGGGGTTATAACTCACAGGCTACCTTTCGTAACACATCATGTGTGTTCTCAGTCTTATGACATCTGTCATCAGATACACTTACAAATTAATATATATATATATATATATATATTGCGTGCAAGCTTCTCTTAATTAGGTGCATGGTCTTTTCATCATATAGCCTGGAGATATATATATA